CTTTAATCGGGATCCACTTAGTCAACTCGAGCCCGTCTATTTGTTCTTGCTTTCCCCTCTCTCTATCTTCGTAGGCAAAAATTTGACAGGCGAAGTCATTCCTTTACATTTGTATAACTCATTGATAAGTCCTTGGATTAGTGGAGGAAGAAAGTGTTGGCAGAGGGTTTGGATGAACACAGTGAGGTGGCACTCACCGTCTTAAGTCATACTGAAATTGTGTAAGCATGCTCAAATAAGCCATTTACCACTTTCGTTTCCATCCGAAGTTAGAAATGAAGTCTGTCTTTCGTTTTACCTTGCAAGGTGTGGATAAATGTACTCGTGGGTGTGCACACGGACGGTTAGACTGGCAGACGAATGTAGGGCTTCATGAAGGCGACGGGCAGGAATAATCAAAGGCTGAGCAATCACAGATGTTTTCACTTCAAAAGCAAGCGTTTTACCAGCGTCATGTCAAATGTAGAGGAAGTGGAGCAATCATCCAAACACTAGACAAACGTTGGTTTAATGCAGTCACCACGGAGTATCTGCAAGTTGGGTTTTATACGCTAGTGATGCAGGTGGGAGTGAGAGCACCTGTCTGCTTGACGTGTGCAAATTGGAAGCGTAAGTAATGATGTCATTTCGAGCTCGTGAACTGACACCCACTCGTCATTGCAGACTATAAAAGAGCAGGTGCCTAAAAGAACTTTGCAAATTTTAGTCTAACAATGCAGTTCTTTAAAATCATTTCACTCTGGCTGTCGGCTTTGTGGTGTATGCTGAAGCGTTATCATCAGCGAATGCAGAATAACATGCAGGGACTGAAGATAACAATAAAACAACACCAGCAGATTTACTGCAGCATAGTCAACACCAAATACAGAGGCAACTACAACTACTGAAGATAACACTGAAACATCACCAACCGAATTCACTGCGGCAGCATCATCATCAGCGAATCCAGAGCCAACTGCAACGACTGCAGGGAAGACTGAAGCTACAGAATCATCATCGACGGCCTCCAAAATATCTCTTCTCTTCCCTTCCATCACCAATTCCCTCTTCAGCACTCTCCTCCTCATCCTCATCCACTAATTCATTCTCCCTAATTGCTAATATGCCTTACCTTTGCCACCGACATTAATTTTGCCACTCGCGCTCTCTCAGCTACTTTATATTGTATAGCCACTGCTTTGTAAATACATGCACTTCTCCTCTCCTCTACCCTCTTTTACTCTTTTATTTGCCTCACCTCATTGGGCAGACCCACATGCTACTCAATATTTTATAGTGTTGACAAGTCAATGATGAGTTGGTCTTTTGGTAGACAAATTCTAAAAAAGCAATTACATGCATCACCTTGGCAGTGTCAATGTCGTAGTGGTGTAGAGTTGCTATATTTCGATATAGGAATGTTTAATGACATGACCCTTTCGCATCAGATATCCTGATTTGGAGTGATTCTCCTTCCTTCTCCACCAATTTGCCGTCCTCACACATAGTAATTTGCAGTGTGCTCGGATAGTGTGTAACGTGGATAGCACATTCGCTTCCGTTGTTTTGTGGCCTTTGACTACACGTGGTAATGACACATCCGGTGGAGGTGTGGCAGCAGCGATTGTTGTAAGTTATAAAAATTGCAATATCTGAAGGCTTGTACTAAATTAGAGTGGCCATTTGGAATGGTTAGGAGATAGATGGGCAAGAAATGGATTGACGAGCTGACCGATGTGTGGGGGCATGACTACAATGAAGATGAGCAGAAAGACTATTTAATACTATAGGTCATATATTTAAAATAACTTTTATTTCATTACATATCATTAATGGCACTCGGCATTCTTCAAGTTGTCCATCGAGTCTACTCATTCTGTACCACACAACCTATCATCCATGTGCATAGCTGCTGCAATGATCCCATTGCATCCATAAATTTGCCCTATAACATTAACCTCGCCCAAATGCCATGAAAAGTGATTGTCACATTTTTACGGCCTACCACATTAAGGGGGTGGCCTCTTTGATCTCTAAATCAGACAAAACAACTCCTATGCAAAGACGAGTCGCGACACTACACACCGAGACAAGGGCCACCTAGTCGGTTTCTACGCACCTCGTCTGTGCTCTGCTTCAAAGCATTGCGATCATGAGACGTGCCTTCTGACGCCATGCGACGCCGATTCCTCCTCATTTCAGTCCTCTGAATTGTCCTGGTTGTAAGCGGAATCGGAAGAAGCATAGGCGATTATGGTAGCACGGTATCCTTGAGGTATAAATGCGAAAAAGGAGCGCAGACCTTAACTCCACCAAAAGTTACAAACAACACAAACCTAAATCACCTTATTATCCACCAAAGCTTTGAAGATTGGGTTATGATTTTCGGCCACACTAAATCTATTATACATACCGGCAAATATTAATGAAGCTTAAAATATTAGTGTGAAATCAGTTAGGCTCTGCCCTTGCACATTCCTGCAAGGAGAACATGCAACCAGTGTAAACGAACCAAACAAATTTCATCGTCTTTTCATTTAACACACTTAAACTTTGTCGTCGTAAACAATTTCATACGTGTGTTCACCTTTTACTACTACCACTTCAGTAGTGACAGAAACAGAGTTCAATGGTACAATTCATATTTTACAGGAAAATTGGCAGGTGAGAACAAATTTTGGCATTTACCACAAGAAGACGCCACTACTACCAACACCAAAACACAACCTGATGCAACCTAATGCATGTGACAAGTCTTTTTTAGCCCCAAGGCATCTCACCTCAGATCTCCTTCGCTCAACCCATCTCATCGCAATTTCAGTTAGCTGAACAGCTCATATTCCTTTTGTCTGACTGACCGAATCATGCACCAAGCGCACAACACGGACTGGATTGTGCCTTTATGAGGCAACCTCGGACATTGGATTGCGAGTCATTTTTCAGTCAAAGGAGAAGTGCAATTGCAGTTCAGTTCACTCCGTGATGACGACGTTGACCCACCGTGTCTGGCCTTCAAAATTAATCTGGATGAATAAAGGTAAAATTGGAAGGAACATCTGGCATGCGCTGGTCCTAAATTCTCTCCACTATCCTTCGTATTCCACCCTACCCTTATTAGCTATTTGAGAATTGTGTTACATTTGTGCAGCCATCTCTACTACCTTCATTCTCATGGAGTGGAGGATGCTTAGATAAACGAATGGGCAGACACAACTGGAGGAGTTGCTTGTCAAATGTGGTATGAAGGGTAAATCAGAATTAATGGATGACCTCTGCCCTTCTTTTCTTGAGTGGGTCAAGTGTTGCGTGTTAATGGGGACACATAAATATTCATGATGCAGTGATGGCAGTTTTCCTCCTGACCACAATGCTCCATCTATCGTAAATGCACTTATAACACATTTTTACATACTTAACAGTGCAGCAATGCACACTCTGATTTCTTCGCTATTTCTCATTGCTTCTCTTCATTTCATCGCATCCATTATCTTTACAAGCGTTTGGGTCTACAGTGGGTCAGTGATACTCGTGTTAAGCCGCATTGTTGCGATGTTAGATTGACCACCTCTCTATTTCTGCTTCATTCGCGTTAGGACTAGCAGTGTCCCAAGCCGCTGCGTGAAACAGTACACTTACCGAATTAGACATTTACATCTTGGTGGCGAAGGTGTAGGAAAAAAACCTCATTTCTGCCTTTGTGCTGGAGATAGGAATTGCACATATCATGTGCTTTGACGTACGTATACCGCAATGACTTGCATAACTTTGTGGTGAGTCCAGGACTACCTGATTGGCAGATGGAGAGGGGGCATCATCATATAGTCAGACGCGGAAGACCTAGATCAAAAAGGTATCTTTCACGTGTCCGCATTTATTACCGTGTCATGCGAGGAAACAACCGATACCGACACGACAAACACTGGCAAACTAGAAGTGCCACGGCTACTTATTCTCTTGTAAGTAGGCTCTTCGTAAAAGCAAAATTACTGCTTTCCAAAACCAATCTTGCCTTCATGAGATGACTATTAGAAATAGTATTTTCTTTTAATGCACAGAATGTCGTCTACATATATTCATAGTTGTTAAAATCAAGCAAAGAGCGCCTAGAATTATGGGAGTGCGGAAGGTGTATGCTAGAATTCCCCTTTCCGGTTGCACATTCGGACACAAACGTGGTTATTTTTTATTCGTGCCTAACGTAAAAGGATAGTAAGTTCAATTATGTATGTATCTTGAGGGGAAAGAAAGTAAAAATAGCCTCAAAGATTGTGAAAACTCACCTAAACTATTCTACATACGCTTAATGCTCACCTGACAATTTAAATCCTACCCTCTTCTCCAACTCCTTTATTCACTCAATGTGCATTTAACCGTCTAACACTATGCGCTCATCCATTAATCCTACACTCATTTACACACTTATTTTTTTTAAATTCCGGTTGGTATCTCCCTGAGAGCTTTCGGTTTATGCCACCATTTTAATAAAATCTTCATAGATAACAACAAACATTGTAATGGTGGCACAAAATTTAGAAAGGAGGTAGAAAACCTCATAAGACTACCCACAAGTGGTCGGAGAGAGGAAAAACAACTACCATTACTATGAATACTCGTTTACATCACACACATTTATGAATGCGGATATATTGTAATGGGGAGAACGGTGTGTTTGAGGCATGGTAAAAATAATCCGCATCCCCATTTTGGTTATGGTATGAATTTTAAGAAAGTAAATTATAAAGACACTCCAGATGTGGATTTCCCAGGTAACACCCAAATCTGTGACTGGTTAGTCTTCTGAACCCATTTTTCTGCCTTACCTATTTGTTTGACCCCAAATAGGGCAAAACAACTCCTATGCATAGACGAGTTGTGGCACGACACGACACGACACACCGAGACACGTGCCGCATGATCGGTTTCCACCCACGTCCTCTGCTTCAAAGCATTGCGACCGTGAGAGGTGTCTTCTAACGCCAACTGCTCCTCACTTCAATCATCTCCATTGTTGTGGTTGTAGCCGTAGGTAAATCCTTATAATTTTAAGACACCGCAAATCAGTGTTTCTCACCTGGGTGGAGAGTGGCATGAATCCATCCTCATCTGTCGGAGTGAGAGGGGAGAGAAGTGAAGGAGGACTGAATTGAGGAATGTGCGAAACAAGGGTGTCTGTGCACATAATCTGAGCTACTTTCAATTGTTTCGGCAATGCAGTAGTCCAGTGCCCTTACTTTCTATACTGTGAGGCGGTTGGGGAGTGAGTATGGATAATACGGTGCAGGAGTGTGTGCAGGTGGGAGTGAGAGCACCTGTCTGCTTGACATGTGCAAAGTGGAAGCGTAAGAAATGATGTCATTTCGAGCTCGTGAAATGACACCCACTTGTCGTTGCAGACTATAAAATGAGTAGTTTTTTTAAAGGAATTCACAAAATTTAATCTAACAATGCAGTTTTTCAAAGGCTTGTTCCTCTGGCTGTCGGCTTTGTTGTGTAAGCTGAAGCATTTTCATCAGCGAATCCAGAAGAACCTGCAACTTCTCAGGAATTTATGCTGCCTACAAATCAGTGATAATATGAGGTCTTTTAGGAGACAAATTATAGGAATGCATTTCTGTGCCCCACCTTGGCAGTATGGAGGTCGTGGTGGTGCTGCTTTGCTTAATTTCGATGTAGAATTGCCTAACAACATGACTCTTTTACACGAGATAGCCTGATCAGGAGTGATTCTTCGTTCGCTACCAATTCACCAGCTGCACGCGTGGTAATTTAAAATGTGCTCGGATAGTGAATGACTTGAAGGCCACACTCGTAACACTGAATGGCATGACAGAAAAATTTCGATATCTAAATGTCTGGACAAATTCAAAGTGGTTATTTGAAATGGTTAGGAGATAGATGGGCAAGAAATGGATTGACGAGCTGACCGATGTGTGGGGGCATGACTACAATGAAGATGAGCAGAAGGACTATTTAATACTATAGGTCATATATTTAAAATAACTTTTATTTCATTACATATCATTAATGGCACTCGGCATTCTTCAAGTTGTCCATC